ATACATGATGATGATACATGATGATGATACATGAAGATGATGATACATGATGATGATACATGATGATGATACATAATGATACATGATGCGAACTACCCTTTAATCTTTAAATCTTACCTGTGACAGTATGCACATCTGTACTTCTCGAGATCAAGTGACTTGGAATGTCGACCAATTCTAAGAAAAACATGACAAAAACTTCATTAAAAATCATAACTGAATCAAACAATAGTAATTGTACAAAGCTAGAATCAAAGTTGATAATTTTATTCCAACAACCTTTTGGCTTTGTTTTGGCTAGTTTTTGATTCACGTTAAAATATATAAAACAGCAATTTTCGATGAGGCAATGACGTCACATTCAAGACCACATCACCATTCTCTTTTTACTTTTATTTATCATTAGCATTTTAATTTTCATATAGAAAAACTTCAAAGAAAAAGCACAGCACTTCTAGTGGCTTTTTAATAAATTCATTTACATCGAAGCCTATTGAAAATTAATTGTTTTTCCCCAAGCAGTTCGTGCCGGTCATCAGGTCATAATGCATTATCATGTATGATCCAAATGACGTTTGCCTTCAAACGGAACAGGTTCGCATCAGTGGGCAATCAAGAGACAACAGCTACAGTACGGCACTGGAAAACGAATTTTCAATCCCCTTGATCATTTTATCTAACAAACATTTCTATTCCTTGATATTTAGTGCTTAAATGATATTGAAATTCTTCATTTTGTATGTGTGGAATGTCACGCACCCGACCGGAAAGATGGCCTGTGGTCTCTCTCGTGACAGTGATGTCAGCCTCAGCTGTTCATAGTTTATCACCCAAGGGTATCTTAGTCATTACACTGGCCTTCTTTCTGTTTTAGAGTAGACGACATGGCGTGATGTGTGGCGCGTTTTATGGCCACTTAATTTTCAACCATCTCGTGATCTCTGATGACTTTTCTAATAAGATATCGGCCCTTCACTAAAGTTATTATTAAATTGCGAATTTAATCCGAGGCTCTTATATTAAGTAAATAGATACATTTATCTTGGTGTACAGCTGTAATGTTTTCACATTTCCCTTGAAAAAAAGATTCTGCTTAAGTTTTATCCACAATCATGTGTCTTTTCATGTGCAACCGTTAAACAAAGAAATGATGTACTCTAGGGAATGACACGTAGTCTGAAATAGGATAACATTGCGCCCGAGGTAAAAAGGTTTCGAAACAGTGATTAGTGAGTTGATGTCTAAGGTGGAGTGGTAAGGGGGAAGGGAGGGGGGAAGGGAGGGGGGAAAGGAGGGGAGGTGGTTTGAGACCCAAGACATTATGCACTGCCGACTTACGAGTTGGAGCAGAATTCATTGGTACAATGGTAGGTATACTTGGCATTGATCTTGTAGCTATGGCAACGGCTGATTGGAGGCAGATCCTTATGGATGAAGTTTGCTCTTCTTGCCCTAGGGGGGTAGGGAGGGAGAAATGTTTGTAAGAACGAATACATGAATAGATAAATAAATGAAAGGAGTTTATGCATTTTTGGTCATCCAGGGGGCAAATAGGCCGATCTTACCACACAAGCAAGTCTTGCCACATGACCATACATTTATTTGTAAATCATACCGCTTTCAAAAACAGTTTACTCCCAAAATACTGAACATATTACTCTCAAATTTTCAGTAGTTACTAAATAAGACATTCTCTTTCGATTTCTGGAGTCGGTTTGCTCGTAGCTTGAACTTTTTTATGCTAATGAGTAAAAAACGTAATCAAAGTTCAGCCTATAGACAAAGCTTTGTCACAATAATGGCAWTGATTGACATTTATGGTAGGCACATGTTGTAGGTATGTAGCGTAGTCTTTTATGTAATGCCAGTCATTTTTCTCACCAGTTTTTCCACATGGGACCGTGACCGGCTCGAACTCCATTGATCAACCAGGTAGCAGCGTGACACATCTCATGGATCAAAGTGTCACGCAATCGATCTGAAGTGTTAACAGATATCAAAAATTGATATTAATAAATATTTATTCATCAGTGTTGTGGGATAAGTGGGGTAATAACTCGTTTATTTTACCATAGGAAACCCACATTGATGAAGAATCAGAATGAAAACGAAATAAAAAATTGAAACAAATGAAATTAAAAAATGACCCAGAGGACAGAAGAGCACACCTTTTTATGGGCTGCCTTAGCTTTTATCAACACAGCGAAGTGAAGAATCACCCAAGTAAAGATGGATATACAAGAAAATATAACAATCTTACCTGCAGAATCAATGACTTTGTCAGCCAGTTCTATCCTGGCAGTTGAGACACCATTTTTCCTGGAATATGGAAAAGAATCAGGCTCTGGTAAGGAATTTTGGATTAGGGCTGGGCAATATGATGATGATGCATGATGATGATACATGATGATGATACATGATGATAATACATGATGATAATACATGATGATACATGATGATGATACATGATGATGATACATGATGATGATACTGATGATGATTGTGATGGTA